ATCCTGGGGCGCAGGATGGCCCTGGCCAGGCACGGGGGTAGTGTATCGATGCCCTCTGCGGACCCATGTGCGCACCGCCGAGGCGAGGAGGAATGTCCGTGTGTGTGTGTGTGTGTGTGTGTGTGTGTGTGTGTGTGTGTGTGAGTGTGCGTGTGCGTGTGCGTGTGTGTGTGTGTGTGTGTTGTGTGTGTGGTGTGCTGTGCGTGTGTGTGTGTGTAGTGTGTGTGTGTTGGTGTGGTGGTGTGTGTGTGTGTGTGTGTGGGTGCGTGGGTGTGTGTGTGTGCGGGCGTGCGTGCGTGCTGCGTGCGTGCGTGCGTGCGTGCGTGCGTGCGTGCGTGCGTGCGTGCGTGCGTGCGTGCGTGCGTGCGTGCGTGCGTGCGTGCGTGCGTGCGTGCGTGCGTGCGTGCGTGCGTGCGTGCGTGAGTGCGTGCGTGCGTGCGTGTGTGTGTGTGTGTGTGTGTGTGTGTGTGTTGTGTGTGTGTGTGTGTGTTGTGTGTGTGTGTGTGTGTGTGTGTGTGTGTGGTGTGTGTGTGTGTGTGTGTGTGTGTGTGTGTGTGTGGTGTGTGTGTGTGTGGGGGGGGGGGCGCCTGCGCAGCGGGGGGGGGGACACCGAGCTCGAATCGGCGATGCATCGCTCCTAGATCTGCGACAGACGACGCATCGCCTCTAGATCGGCGATGTCTCGGCCCCCGACAGCGAGATCCGAAGGTTCCTGGGTGGCGTGTGCGCTGGGGCCCACACTGGCGATTCATGGAGTGGGCGATTGGATGTCGATGCACACACACACACCTACTGCGATCCAAGGTCTGCGAGCAGGAAGGGGCAAGCCAAACACGCGCTCAAGCAGACTCGAGGGAGAAAGGGGAGGGAGGGAGCAAGAGAGGAGGGCGGAGAGGGAGAGAGAAAGCGTTCCCCACCCCAGCTCCTGCGGTCCGTCTCCGCCATGTCACCCGCAGCCCCCCCTAAGCCCTTAGCATATGCCCCTGCCGTTGCCCTTGACGCAAGAGTGGCCCTGGGCAAGAACGACCTCTGTGGGGCGGCTTTGGGGGGCCGCGGGGAGGCGAAACACAAGCGCGCCAACCAGTGCTGGGGGGAACGTCTCAGGGCGGACGACAGGGGCAGATAGACCAGGGGCGGGCGTTACACGCATTCGCCCGGGGATCCTCGTCGAAGCCATGTTCGATCGGAGGCTCTGGATGCATGTACTGCTCTCCTCCCTGGACGGTTCGCCCCTGCAGCCGCCTCCGAACACTTCTATAGGGGCCCGCACCAAAGGTCACTCCGTCGAAGGGCCTCTCTTGCGCGGTTGAGACGATGCCGGCTCGAAAGCGGCCCCCGACCGCGGACCCCGCGCGGGGGTCCACAAGCACCATTTGCCCGCGCCGCCCAGGCCGATCCTGGGCCCAGGACCCTCGCGTGTGCCGCCCTGGCCCGGCCAGGGAGGTACACAAACACACACACACACACACACACACACACACACACACACACACACACACACACACACACGCACGCACGCACACGCACGCACGCACGCACGCACGCACACACACACACATGCACGCACGCACACACACACGCACGCACGCACGCACGCACGCACGCACGCACGCACGCACGCAGACAGACACGCACGCACACAGACAGACACACAGACACACAGACACACAGACACACACACACACACACACACACACACACACACCGACGCGTGGCCAAGGATGGGCCTGGCCAGGATCAGCGCAGGTCCACATGGCTGGGCCCCCCCCCCGAGGCGAGGAGGGAGGGGAGGAGGAGGGGAGGAGCATCTACGAGAGGGCAGAGGGCCCCTCAGAGGGGAGAGCGGCCCTCCCTGAAGGCCTCGAGGATGGCTCCTCTTGGAGCCTTCGAGTGCAGGAGAAGCTAGCAGTGGCGGGGTGTCTTCTGAGAAGCACCGCCCTTCCCCCCTCGCTGGAGGAGGGAGGGGGGAGGGGGAGGGTCGGGGATCTTCTGACCCGGGTCAATCCAAACCCGGGTCAATCGGGCCTTGCAGGATCCTGCAAGATCCTGCACCCAAACCCGGGTCAATGCGAAGGATCCTGCGAGACCCTGCAGGATCCTGCACCCAAACCCGGGTCAATGCGACCCTGGCCCTGGCCCTGCAGGATAGTGCAAGATCGGGGCGCTCTGGCTGGCCTCCGTTTGCATTGACCCCAGTCTCAAGTCGGAGAGACGTAAGACTTGGGTACGGGGGACTCGGGTTGGCCCGACAGGGCCATCATAAAAATGACGAGGCCCAATCTGAAATTTGACGCGAGCTCCCGCTGCAGACATCCCACGAAAACTGGACCGTCAAAATCCAGGACGCGCTCGTCAAAAAAACGTCGGCAAACCCGAGTTCCGGCTTACTCGGGTCTTGCGCTCCCCCGATCAAGGCTCCCGAGAGGAGGGAAAGATGAGGCGCCCGGCCGTCGTGGCGAGCCCAACGGCAAGAGAAGGATGGGGGCACGGATCGGTGGCAGCCGGATCGGCAGAACGCCCCGGCAGATCGCGGCGGGGGAGGGGAGGCGGAGCTGGGAGGTGGAATGCCGCCCCCCCCTCATCTGATCCCCTCCCTGGATGTGTCGCCGTGCATGTCTTTCTAGCGTGCTGTCTCTGGCATTGCGTGTCTGCTTTTTCCCAGTCGACTTCAGGTTGTTGGCCGGCGGCGCCAGTTTCCCACCTCGCGTGCCACAAGCTTGCATTCCACTCTTGACTTGGACGCGCCGTGCGACCGCCAGCGCAGGAGACCCATAGAAGCGACGCTCCCCCCCAAAAAACTGGAGCGGGTGGTTTTGGGCTCTTTTCGGTCTCTGGGGGCCCTCGCCGGGCTTCGGGAGCGCCAGAAAGCGACTCGGGCCGAAGCACCGGAGCCGGGGAAGTGCTCCAGACCTCCGGACCTCGCGCATCGAAAATATTGGAGCAGCCGGGTGTCTGGGGAAGTACAGTAGAGGCGCAGGCAGACGAGGAGCGCGTGGGCAAGAGAGCGAAGACGCAGGCAGACGAGGAGCGCGTGGGCGGGAGGCCAGGGCCAGCAGAAGATGGAGGACGGGGGGATGACAAAGACAAGATGACAGAGAGGGTGCGTAGGTACAGTAGCAGCTCGACTACAAGAAACCTTCCACCGGAAACCCAACCATGAGACCCCAGGAAACCCACTGATTTTTGATGTGGAAACGTCGCGCTCTCCATCGCAAAACCATCGAAATCCAAAAAGTCCAGGGCACCCTAGAGGCAAGCAGGGTGTTTCTTGGCATGGGTCTCCACTTTAGTATTGGAGCCGGGCGGTTTGACACACTGGGAGCTCAAGATCACTCCCCGGACCCCTCCCAGCCTCACCCCGTCCTGCGCGCCGCCGAGGCTCTGTGTGGGCCAGTGCGGAAGGCGAAAGACAAAAAGAGGTCCGCGCAGGCAGAAGCACGACGCCGTTAAGACACGCGACTGGAAAGATCGACCCCTCTGTGAGGGTCCTGACGCCCGAACGACACAAAGAGGTCCACGCAGGCAAAATCACGACGTCGTTAAAAACACGCGACGGGAACGATCGACCCCTCCGTGAGTCCTGGCGCCCGAAATGGGATGAGACAAAGGCCGCAACGGCATGCCTGACGTCGCGTGTGTGTGTGTATGTGTGTACGTGTACGTGTACGTGTGTGTGCGTGCGTGCGTGCGTGCGTGTGCGTTTTTGTATATGTGTGCGCGTGTGTGTGTGTGTGTGTGTGTGTGTGTGTTGGTGTGTGTTGGTGTGTGTGTGTGTGCGTGCGTGCGTGTGTGAATGTGTGTGTGTGTGCGTGAATGTGTGTGTGTGTGCGTGAATGTGTGTGTGTGCGTGTACGTGTGTGTGCGTGCGTGCGTGCGTGCGTGCGTGCGTGTGCGTTGTTGTATATGTGTGCGTGTGTGCGCGTGTGTGTGTGTGTGTTGGTGTGTGTGCGTGTGTGAATGCGTGTGTGCGTGAATGTGTGTGTACGTGCGTGCGTGTGCGTGTGTGTATGTGTGTGCGTGTGTTTATGTGTGTGTGCGTGTGTTTGTGTGCGTTGGTGTGTTGGTGTGTGAGGGTGTTGTGCTATGGTGATCGAATGTCAGGGGAGGCACCGGAGGAGCGGAGGATCTCGCTCGACCGAACATGGCAACGCCCTGGGATGCGCACCGACGGCCCCCTGGAGGTGGTCCTGCCTGCCCTCCGCAGGCACCGAGGGTGCTACGGGGTGCTCCCAACGCTGCGGATCGAACCAGGCGACACTACACTTTGGAAGACAACTCGCTCAGAGGCCCTCAGCCCGGAAGTTGGGGAGCTCGGGCTTCTGCGCGGGCGCGAAGCTGGCAGCCACCGCGCCGATGTAGGACAAGTCGGGGAAGTTTTCCTTCAAGTACGCGTTCCCGCGCTCCTGAACCCTCCACGTCAGACTGCTCCTCCTCCTCCTCGTCCTTCTCCTCCTCCTCCTCGTCCTCCTCGTCTCTCGTCCTCCTCGTCCTCGTCCTCGTCCTCGTCCTCGTCTCTTCTCCTCTTCCTCCTCCTCCTCCTCCTCTTCCTCCTCCTCCCCTTTGTGTGTCTTATAAAAACGCCTATAAAAACGCTGGGCCTCCTGAGACACAGCCGAAAAACGACTCCGCTGGAACTCGCCCACAATGAGGATCTGAATCAGAGCCGACCTCAGGGAAAACGGGGCTCCGCGGTTCGAGCCATGTTTAAACGCTGACTCCTCCTCCTCCTCCTCCTCCGCCTCGGTCGGTCGGTCGGTCGGCGACTCAGGGGATGAGTCTGAGTCCCAATCGGCGTGTGAGACGAGAAGCGGCAGCAGAGAGAAAGCGGCGAGGCAACGATCGCTGGCTCCTCCGCCTCCTCATCCTCCTCCTCCTCCTCGTCCTCCTCTTCCTCCTCCGCCTCCGCCTCCTCCGTCCTCCTCCCCCTGCTACCCACGGCTCCCCTCCGTCCTGCTCTTGCTGCTCCCGCCTCTCCGTGTCGTCATTCCTCCTCGTTGCGCCTCGCCGCGTCTGCTGGGGCACGGTCCGGCTGGGCGGCGCCCCGTCCTCCTCCTTGCCCTCCTCCTGCTCTTGCTCCCCCGTGCCTCCCTCCCCTCCTGGCTTCCTCTCTCCTTGCCCGTCAAGTCCGACCCCCCGCCTCCTCTCCTGGATCTCGCCCTGGTTGGGCTGCTCCCGGTACTTGCTCTGGATTCTGTCGACGACGTCCATGCCATCCACGACGAGCCCGAAGGGGGTGAAGCCCTGGCGATCGAGGAAGACGTTGTCCTCGGACTCCTCCTCCTCATACTCCTCGTCGCTTTCCCCCTTCCCATTATCCTCATGTTCCTCCTCCTCCTCCTCCTCAACTTCCTCCTTGTCGCTATGAGTATCCTCCTCCCTCTCTCTTTTCGCCTCCCTTCTCCTCCCTCTCGCTCCCCACATACGTCAGTCCTGGCAAACATGTGCGAAGCCCTTGATCAATGGTCCTCCTGCTCCACCTCCACCTCCTCCTCCTCCTCTTCCACCTCCTCCTCCTCCCTCCTCCTCCTCCTCCTCCTCTCCTCCTCCTCCTTGTCCTTCTCCTCCTCCTCCCTGTCCTCCTCCTCCTCCTCCTCCTCCTCATCCTCCTCCTCCTCCTCCTCCTTCTCCTCCTCCCCCTCTCCTGCCACGCCTGCTACAGCGCAGAGGCCATGGAGCTCTCAAGCGAGAAGAATAGGAGGGCGCCAGGCAGGCAGACCGCTCGAGGCATCCCTACCACCTGGGCGCGAACGGGGCCCTGCAGCACAGCTGGCGGCGCTCCGTTGGGGTGCACAGGTGCCACCCCGGCTACACTGCGGTGGTGAGGGCATCTGAGCATGAATGGTTCGTCTGCGTGCTTCTGTTGCGTGTGGGTAGACATGGGCGACTTCGGGGACCCTGAACCTCAAAACGTTTTCGCCTCTTGGTGGCGCATGTCTTACTTCCGCCACCTTCCACCGCCCTTCCGCTGGCTTCCGCCGCGGAGGTGGCCTCGTCTTACTTCCGCTGACCTTCCGCCGCCTTCCGCGGCGGAAGAGATGACAACTCCTTCGATCCTCGAAGGCAATGCCATGTTTGGGACGCCTCATATGCATGAAAAATCATGACTCGTCGAAGTATGAGTGAGACTGACTGTGGTAGACTCCGAACGTGAGTGCGCCTGGGGCAAGAATCATCCGAGCGTGAGCGGTCTGTGTGAATGGCCTTGTTCATGACGAGTCTGAGTGTGTGTGTGTGTGTGAGTGGCCTGAATCTGTGTGAGCCAGAGTTTGAACGCATCCGTGCGAGCTTCTGCCTGCGAACTGCCCACGCGCTCGAACCCGATGCCAACGAGCGAACGGCTCAGACCACCCGAGCAGCCTCGGATGCTCCAGACATTCGCCCCTCGCCCTCGCGACAGCATCCGCGGACACGCGGGCAGAGCGGCGAGCGTGCACGGCGTCAGCCCGCCTCGCGCCCTCCTGGCCGGCGCTCCCCAGGAGCAGCCGCCAGACGCGCGAGGCGCGGACTTCTCCAGATCCACCTCCAGCCGACGGCCTTGTGCCCCAGCGGGCGGTGGATATGGATGTATTCTCTTGCGCAGCTGTGTTCTAGAGCTTGGACCTCTTTACTTGTTCGTCGTCGTCGTTCGTTCGTTCCTCGTTCGTCCTCCCCCCTGGCCGTCCTGGCCTTGCACTGGACCCAGCCCTCCCCAGCTTCCCTCGCTCTCCCCCCCCCTGGCCTTCCTAACCCACTCCCTGGACCCAGTCCCCCTCGCTATCGCCCCCCCCTGGCCTCCCGTTCGTCGTCCTCCCACCCTGGCCTCCGTATTCTCGTCGTTGTCGTTGGTTCGTTCGTCGTTCGTCGTCGATCGTTCGCTCGTTCGTCATTCGTCCTCCCCCCTGGCCCCCTGCCTTGCCCTGGTCCCAGCCCTCCCCCTGCCTTTGCCCTGGACCCAGCCCCCCTCGGCCTCCCCCCCTGGCCTTGGCCCTCCCCCCCATCACGCCCAGGGAGAGAGAGAAGGCGCAGGCCCGGCTCTGCTGCCAGCCGGCCCGGCCCCCCAGCAGTCGCCGCCCCCGCCGCCGCCCACGAAAGAAAACCAGTGCCGCCGCCGCAGCACCCCGGGGCCCGCCCGCCGGCACGCCGAGGAAGGCAGGCGGCCGGTCCGCGCCCTCTCGTCGCCGCTGCTCGCCTCCTCGCCGCCCTCCTCCTCCTCCTCCTCCTCCTCCTCCTCCTCCTCCTCCTCCTCCTCCTCCTCCTCTCCTCCTCCCTCCTCTCCTCCTCCTCCTCCTCCTCCCCTCCTCCTCCTCCCCCTCCTCCTCCTCCTCCCCTCCTCCTCCTCTCCTCCCCTCCTCCTCCCTCCTCCTCTCCTCCTCCCTCCTCCTATCCTCCTCCTCCTCCTTCCTCCTCCTCCTCCCTCTCCTCCTCCTCCTCCTCCTCCTCCTACTCCTCCTCCTCCTCCTCCTCCTCCTCCTCCTCCTCCCCCTCCTCCTCCTCCCCCTCCTCCCCTCCTCCCCCTCCTCC